CGGGGTAACGTGGCGGTTGGTTCCGAGTAGTGACTAGCCTCGCCGCAGGGCAAACGGTCTACGTCATATTAACTCATACATGTTGCTCCTGGACATGGCAGCCGTCACAGTCATTTAGGAGAGATTTATCACTGTCTGTCTTATGAGGAGTCCTTTGACATCTCCATTTGTCACATGACAGCAAATCACCGGGCCAATGCATGAGCCGTTGTGACGTTTTCATTTTCTGGTGCCACTGTGGACGTGAACATAACTTGAATCATGGTGTCGTAGAAATGGTTATTCATTGTGATAAGGAAACAGAGAAAGATGCACAGACAGTGAAATATAAATCAAATTGAAACAGAAAGACGAGAAAATATTCTGAGAAAGTTGGTTGTGCAACAGGGGACTGATGGGAATGAAACCAATGTGCAGCATAATGCGTTGTTGCCTGAACACATTGGATTTCTTAGGAGAAACTGGATTGATGGATTGATGGGAGGGTAGGTCAACAACTGGGTGCTTTGGATGGGATTAGATGTGAGAGGAGCAAGAAGAAGAGTGACTCACAACTAGAAGGTCTACTTGCTATGGGGAGTTGTAAACCAAGGATAACTGATTGCGTTTTATATGGAAATTGAAATAAGGGGTTGGTCAAAAGGGACCAGGTATTAAAGAGCCTGTGACAGCATCCCAACAACTGTTGTGCAATGAAATATTGGGCTACTAGTAATCTCGAACCGTCAGTTTAAAAAAGAAAAAGCGATACCGTTCCGTTAAATATCAATAATTTCGATCATCGCGGGGAAATTCCTTCGACTCATTTTGAAGTTTTGGGGGAAGCCGGAAGTGACGTCAATGCGGGAACGCTTCACTGTGTTGTCATGCGTAGAAATGGTGAATTACTGAGTTTAGTCACGTTAATAACGTTTTAATGAAGTTGACTACAGTATATTCATATTTGTCAGTGCTTTCATGTCAATTCGGTGAACATAAACATAAATGATCGTGGTGAAGATGATGATTAAATTAGGATTAAAAATCGGTAGTGAGAGCTGCTGAATTTCCTCCCGTATGTGATATAAAAACAAATCGATTATTTTTGTAGTTGTAAACTCAAGTGGATGAAACTACATGAATTAGTGCTTTCATGTCAATTCGGCGAACATATGATAGATTAAATGATCGTGAGAATGATGATTAAAAATCGTTTGTTTGTGCCGGTCTGCATTTCCTGATGAGAAAACAAACCGATGCTTTTTGTAGTCTAGTTGTAGTAGGCTACACCAACATGGATTAAACGTGTGGTTTTTTCACCACAATGTTGGGGAAATTAATGGATAAAATGCACGGATTATTATTATTATTACTCCCACTCCGATCGGGACACTAGGTCCACCGTTTCCCCGCAGCGACAGTTTACGTGGGCTGGGTGCAGTGGCGGACTGGCCATCGGGACAAATCCCGATGGGCCGGTACCGAAGTGGGCCGGTCGGATAAGTCACTAGTACATCCCCCATAGGCGGCGCGTGAGGCTCAGGTTTGGGAAGGCTAAATAACTTTTTTTACGCCTCCGGCGTCTATAGAAAAGAGATCAACTCAGTGTGCGGAGTTTAAATCTCTCAAGTCATATTACAGGATAAAGGAAATACAGTTTAAACTGCCGTATGCAGAGAAGACGCCGACGTGTCGCACTTATCATTCATATTACATCATCAATCAGATCATCGATCATATAATATCATAATATATCATATCTTTCCTTATCTGAGTCAGCTTCTCCAGCCGTATCTGGCCGTGCAACACTTACAGTGTCACATACTGTATGCAGAAGTATTATTTAACACATTATGTTGACGAAACACTCGAGTCAAATGTAATTAAAGTCAGATCCACTCGTGTCTTAGACGTGAACGCGCTCTCAACTGGAGAGAGAAACCCTGGCTTGATTTACCGAGTTGATAACCAGCGTCGTAGGACCGCTTAGCGAGATCTCGTTTGTTAGTTTGTTGTTGTTAGTTTGTTTGTTACTCAAACATATCCAGGGTCTGTTGAACTGGCTTCGTAGTACAGGGCACAGGTGGCTAGCAGCGCTAATGTCAAAGACACAGACATTGCATTATATTTGTATTTTACGAGGATGCAGTGACACAAATATTTACATATTTACATTTACTATCTACAGCACCCGCCGCCCCTGACATCCCCCACTCCCCCTGTTGACAATTTACTAGCGGTACCGAAGTGGGCCGGTCGAGAGTCCCGGGATGATTTTTAGTCTCAGTCCACCACTGGCTACATGACCGTATGATCGCCCATATTGACGCACCTAATTCCTAAACTTCTAACAGATACAACATAAACCGATCCTTCAGCCTCATATGAGCTCTCAGACACGTTCAAAATGAAACTGTCTGAGCTGTCTGAGCTTGCTGCTGTGTGCGCCATCGTGCGTTTACATGCAGATGCTGGGATCCTGAACGGTGCAGATGGAGCGCTGTGCTCGCAATGACGTCACACATAATTTGGCGGGACTTGAAGAATCCCCGAGAAGATCCAGAAAATGGTCAACATTGAAGGGCAGATTAATGGTTATCAAAGTACAAATATCCAAAATCAGTTCAGTAACGGTTTTCAAGGGGACAATATTTACTCAAATTGATGGGTTTGGATGATGGGGGAAACTCGTGTCACAGGCTCTTTAAATGAATGAGGCTGTGACTGGAAGGCTATTGCCCAGCAGAGTAGAATTTAACACACAGCAAATACATAGACACACATCTAGTGCTGCGGATTAGGTTGTACCATTATTGAGAAGCAAGGATTTGTCAACCAATGAATTAGCTGATCAACAGAAAAACAACCAGTCGATTGATCCTTCAAAAATATGTTTCAAGCATGCAGGTGAAAAGCAGTTTTCAGCTTTATAAATACGGAGCATTCCTGCTTTTCTGTTTGTATCATATTAAGGTGTACATATCAATAATGTTATATGTTTTCTCCCCCAAGTTAGTTTTTGACTTAACACAAATATGTTACTTATCATTGACCTTGTAAATCTGTATAGAGGAGAATATTGGAGTATATGGATGGGTCAAATTAAAATGTAACCTTCACACAGGTGACCGATGTTCGTGTCCTATATGAAACACAAGACAATATTGGCTCATTTTAACTTCCGTAGGTTACCTTATCGACATAACATTGCACTTAATTCTCAGCCAAACCATGATACTTTACTCAATTTAACCATGTAAAGCTTTTATTGATTTTGTTTCAGTTTACAGCTTTACCATGTGTCTGAAGCGGCTACATTATTACAGGAGAAAATATGTTTCTTTTGAACCATAATTGAAAATGCAATTTTCGGAACCTAATTTATGGTTGACATGGACAGAAAGTGAATAAGATAATAACCATGAGGACACGGGACATACAAATTTCATGTGTTGACTAACACATCTATATCTATTCACTAAGGTAATCACAGAGGAACAAAATTGTTGTGGAACAAAATTACTAAAATAAATGGTGTGAATAATACATGAAAAGAATGCATACCCAGGAGAATAAGCGTATTGGTGTGCTATGCCCTATAAACATTCAAATAAAAATATAATGGACATTTGAGTATATGATGCATCTGTGATTTTTTAAAAGACATTAAAGTTGAATTCACCAAGAGAGGCAGCCATGCAGGAACATTAAAGTGGCCGATAAATCTTGGGGGGATGCAAGGAAATATGAAAAGTGGGAACGATAATAAAAGCAATAGAGAAATGGACAAGCGTACGAATATGGATAAACAGGGAGCCTTTAAGTGGTGAAGTACAAAGAAAAACAGTCAGTCACACACAGATATATGCAGGCAGGTATAGACAGAGGCAGCCAGGTGGACGCTGACTTACACTGAGTTGTCTGACATCGCTGGTTTGACTAGAATTATTCTGACATAACCCCCCTCAGGTGCTTCAAAAATGTCTCTATTTGTCTCGTTCACTGTCAGCAAATGCTACTGGTGTGTCTACTTTGATTCACAAAGTAGATGCAAATTAGATCATCCTCTGTTCATTCAAATATAATCAACACCATGTAAAAAAAAAGGCTGTTAATCCAAGAATACAGCACCACCGGAGCATGAAATTAAGAATAAGAGAGCTTTACGTCTGCAGTGAGTTACTGATGCGCAAAGTAGTCCATGACAGGGACATGTAAGCTTGTTAGCGACCAGTTAACATCAATAGCAGTACTGGGGGGAGCAGGCTGGGAAAGCAATGGCTGCAGCAGGTTGATCGCATGTGCTGAAATCTCATTAGGCATTATTAGGCTGCCCTGAAGGCTTTCTCCCACATGCTGGAACTCCTACCAACGGGCCCTCGCAGGTCAGGATATATAATTAGAGCTGTATCTCGGAGAGCACATTTAGATTGATCACAGCGAGATTGGAGCCCAGTTGTCGACTGCTGTGTGTGGATATGTCATCACCATCACTATCATCATTAGGGTTTAACATTATCATTAAGCAGAATGTGGACAGCAGAAGCTTTTTGTAGACGGGGTTGGAGGCTGCAGGAGGGAAGTTTTAGGAGCAGCATAAAGTAAAAATGAGTCTCACATAGGGGAGCCACATGGGTATTTTATGAAAGTGAAGATAAGGAGGAAAGTTATTTGGGTGATGACACTGATGCAAGGTAGCAGAGCTTGAGGTGAGGAGACGGCAAAGAGGAAGGAGACAGAGGAGTACTTCGAAGCCCAGAAGGAGGTGTGGTGTCAGTGTAAATTGGAAGGGAAGGGTAGAAGATTAAAGGCAAAGAGAAAAACAACGTGTAGGAGGAGAATTAGGATGTCAATGTGTGTGCGTAAAGTACATGTATGTGCTTATGTGTGGAGGTGTGGGGGCTGTGAAGGAAACAGGGGAGAGATGCAGTGCAAATGAGAGGGTGAGGGGCATAAGAGGGAGAGAGAGGTAGGGAGGGGGGTGCACAAAGGCTCTGGGTGAGATGAATACAGCTGTGCAGAGAGATGGGGAGATGCACAAACAACAAAACAACCAACACCAGCCCACGCATCAGGACCAAATGATAGGAGAGACCGGGGTTTGTATTTAGATGGTAGAGATTCTAAGATATCTTTATTAAGGAAGGAGCGAAATCTCAGACTCTCATAACATTTGGGACGGAGGAAGAGAGAAGAGTGGGGGAGGAACCAAAGAGAGAAAGTGACCTGAGGTGGAAAAAGGACGCCAGAAGACTGCAACAGGTAAGAAAAAGATGGAGACATGATAAGAAGTCTGTAAAAATAAAAATTGTCAAATAGTTTTCATTGTGATCAAATGTTAAGGAAGAAATTATTTATATGGATGTGCAGGAACAGACTGAGCAACAAATTAAATATATAGAATATTCTGTAGTAAGTCGATACATGGCAGAAGGGAAATAGATAATAAGAAGTGTTGGCTTAAAGAAATTGAAAAAAGGAGCATGCATAATCCGACATAAATAGTATTTTAGAGAATTTAGAGAAAAAAATATGTAAGCCTATAAGCTACAAACAATAAACAATAAATTAAATAAAAATATTTTGGCATGATTTAATCATCAACTGGCTTATGTCAAATAAACAGCTTAATACCATCTATGGCTCTTTAACTTTCATTATGGCCATTAGAAAAGGAAACAGTCGTGTTCACATGCATCATGATTTATAACTGCAGGGCTGTGTGAATGAAAAACTAAATATTTAATGCTATGCTGAGGTGACATTATAATTGGAAAAATAGGAAACACAAACACATGAATGATGGTTTTATATAGTGTGTATAAAAGTAAGACTTAAGGAGGGCTGAAGTCTATTACTGCCAGTTAGATTTATCTGCAAGAAGAGGAGCGTGGCATGTGAAAACTAGACAATGGGAGGCTTTGATGAGTGAGAGACAGGATTAGTTGTAAGAGAGGTGATGAATAAACCATGAGGTTGCAGCCACATAAATCAGCATGTGACAGGCTACATTTACCTGCAAGAAAGGCGCAGAAACGAACATGTAAATAAGTCGGAAGGGCTTCATCGCTCTTTATTTTCAAGCCGCAACAAATTAACTCATTGACCAGGAAGTTCCACCTTTTTTTAAGTAAGAGGGCAATGTTTTATAACATCAAAGCCTGAGGATGGCTGCTGTTTAAAACATGTTCCCTTAGCTGTGGGATCAGATTTGGTCATGTGCTGCCACCCTATGGTGAAACAATGCTATTCCATGACATGTAGAAGAATGATTTGTGATCTGTTTTTGTTTCCCCGAGCACAGCCGCTGACCTCTGGCCTGTCAATCCACAATGTCCGCCCTGCTGCACACGCTACTGACCCTCTGCCTGACCTTCACACAGGGGTGAGAGTCCAAAGGCCGAACACTCATGTATAGGGTTAACAACACGTGCTGTCAATGATATTCATATCGGTTGAAAATGCAATTTCTTAGCTTAGTCCCCAATGTTATGGTCCATCTCGTGTCTCATTTATCTCTTGATTGCTGTCAGTGGTTGTACGTACTCTGGCAATCACTGGGACGAATGGAGCGACTCTCAGCTGCAGCCGACAATTCAGAAGCTGATGAAAGGATACAACCGCTACCTCAGGCCTAATTTCAATGGTAGGGATGAGCGTGATTGTTTGATTTATTTGAGTTTGATTGTTTCAATTTGGATGCTTGTGTATCCCCGAAAAAAAAAGCCTGATGATTTTCAATTCCTGTGGTCTGTCTTTGATAGAGGGTCCTGTGGAAATTGGAATGAGTCTAGACATCGCCAGCATTGACGCCATCTCTGAAATCAACATGGTACATCACTATTCTTACTTATTTTTGTCAGTAGGTGAATGAAGATATGAATGAATAAGTATTCCTTACATATTTTTTTAGGACTACACTGCAACCATCTTCCTCCGTCAGCGCTGGCGTGACTCCCGCCTGGTGTTCCCGGGGAATGAGAGCGTCAGCGTGGACGGGCGCCTTGTGTCCCTGCTGTGGATCCCTGACACCTTCATCCCCGACTCCAAGCGCTCCTTCCTGCATGACGTCACAGTGGAAAACCGCCTCATCCGCATCTTCAGCAACGGGACCGTTCTCTACGCCCTACGGTACAGGTTTAAGTTCATTGATTTGACATTTAGTGACATTTTTTACACAAAAGTACACATTCTGCAGAGCCAGTATGTGTACAAATGACCTGAGAGAAAAATGAAAGGGGGACACTTACAGAAAAGAGCAGGAAATGAAGGGAAGGCACACAAAAACAATTTCATGTTGTTTGCCGTGGTAATCAACCGTGAATTGGCCTTGGGTTCTACAAGAAAAAGCAACAAAACACACTTATTTATCATCACTTATAAGTCATATCACCTAAGGGCAATGCCCCTGAATATCTGTATTTTGAAAGCTCTTCAAACTAATCAAATTGTGTTAGGGAAGATTCCCCTTTAGCCACAGTCCAAATTCATTCTGACATCTTATCAGACATGTCAGACTGATAGAGAATTTCATGCAGCTTTACTGAGCACAGAAATGCAAGGACATTCCTTACTCTTTTTGAATAGAAGAACACATTTTGATTCAACTGTTTTAATTAAATCTGTTTATTTGAAGCTGATTAAGCTGTGCATTTATAGTTGCATTGTACTTCAGATCAATATTGTCCGTGTCCATGTCTACCAATTACAAATCTACAATGTTTTCCTACGCAATTAGTAGATTTGACTATACAGACTGAGAACACTCTTTAGGTTAGCAATATATCAACAGGAGATTTTCAACATGCCAAGTCAGCAATTTATGATTGGATACATAATAATCTGACACTTCAGATACAAGACTCTGTTCTTTTGATCGATGCATAAAGGGGAGAGTTCTTTGATTTCACTAGTTATTAACCTCCCTGTCGTCAAAGGAGTACCAGTGATTCAGGGGAGTTATTCTAATGATCTTGCCACTGTATGAATAAACAACAGCATCACAGCTACCATCGCCTGCAACATGGACCTGACCAAGTACCCCATGGACAGACAGGTGTGCACCCTGCAGCTGGAGAGCTGTGAGTATCTGAGAACTCCATCATCACCATCATCATCATCATCGAACGACAACATCTGGGTAGTGAGCACCACACTGAAATGTTATTTGTGGCAGATAATTAAAACTGTACAGTTGTGCAATAATATTTTCATAGTGGTGTTTCTTTTTATGGCTGACCCAGAAGTTAGCATCACATAGGCTACCATGACAAAAAGCAATGGGATTTTTTTCATTGGATTTCCAATTTTTTTATGAAGTAATATCTGTGGCCAACACAAATGTATGATGATTACACATTATGTTCAGCAAGTGTCCACATATTACGGAGCCCCTAAAGGGACATGGAAAAAAAAAAAAGAGAGAGAAAAAAAAAAAGTCAGGATAACGGGTAAGTATCTCGTGCGCACGAGAAAGTTTCTCGTTCTTCTTTCTTTTCATTCAAAAGCGTTATCGATTTCAGCATTAAGCGCAACAAAACTGCATTTCATATCAAAGGTTTTTACACTGTATGCAGCAATCCATCACCAGACTCTCTCTGAGTACACTATACTGTGTGCAGTTCACACAATAATATCAGTGTAGCTTATGTCAACACTCGTTCTAAAGCTGCGAGGTCTGACATGTAAGCCAGGTAAGCTCCAGGCTTTCTCTCCCACAGTCTTTATTTTTCACATACTCATACTGGCTGACACGCACTCATACTGGCTGACACGCACTCATACTGGCTGACACACACTCATACTGGCTGACACGCACACACCCGTGCACACACACACACACACACCCACCCACCCACCCACCCACACACACACACACACACACACACACACACACACACACACACACACAACACACACACACACACACACACACACACACACACACACACACACACACACACACACACACACACACACACATGCACCTCTACACACATCGAACTGCCTGATTACTCCCCCTTTTATTAGTTTTATGAAGGAGATGTCCGGTCACCAGGGTGCATGATTGATGTGAATCTGTTTGTGCTCCGTGTGCATGTGTTTTGAGTGTTTATTTCCCTTTAAACCAGCTGAGGGCAGCAGGTACTTTGATGCCCCGGCCACACGAGAACGAAAACGGTCGTTTGCGTTACTGTTTAGTGTCATATAGACCGTTCGGCCACACGAGGACGACCGAATACGGCACTAAACGACTAAACGATAACGATAAACGATAACGGGTCCCAAGGTGGATAGAACGGCATACGCAACGCTCTGGGGGGTCCAACGGCTCCATGTGTGCGCCCTATACGATCATTTTCTGATAATGATGAGGCAATAGCCCCGCCTCTCCCCACCTCTGCTGCTCACCCCCGCATCAAAGTAAACTGCACACTGACTTCAGATTATTTATCTTTCTCTCGATATGGACATACACGCGAGTGAAGTCTAATCTGACAGGACGGAGACACCTCTCAAACTACCTAAACTAGTTATAAATATGTTTATTTTGACTGTCGGCCGGGTCACTCATTACTGGACCAGCTGCTGCATGAGACAGACACTGACGCTGGAGGAGAAGAGGGAGGAAAAAGAGAGGCTCCGTGTATTTTATTATTATATTATATAGAGTCGTTATTCATTTGTTTTAAAGCTCAATAAATAACAAAGAAGACCTTTGACCGGCACTTTTATAATTTTGTGGGAAGGTTTAAACTTTAATACACGTTGACTGGCGAAAAACTCTGCCCGGTTCCCTCGGCCGCGGAGAATAAAAAGAAGGGCAACCATGACAACCATGCTTCTTCGCTGCTTTTGTGGAGGAAGTTACAGCGCCACGTACAGGCTCCTGCATATGTACTGCAGCTTCTCCAGCGGTTGGAGCTAAACGGAGCTGTCTCGTGTGGACAGACACTATCCGGATGACTATTGTGTGTGGACGGAAGTTTTCTTGCGATTGCGTTTGCGTTAATCCTATGCGTTTAGCCGTTTTCGTCCTCGTGTGGCCGGGGCATGAGAGTCACGGACATTAATCAGGGTTGCCAACTTTGGGTACCTGGCTGGAGTGAGATTTTGATATCATGGGTTTAATTACACATATGCGCACTAAATGACTGCTATCGTGTCAGTAGCGGGACCTTAGCATATATATAGGATATGTATACAATATATACACAATATTGGACACAGAATATAAAGGGCACAAAGTTTCATTCACTAATGAAAGTCAAACACATGTTTGTTTCCACAATTTTATTGTGTGCCTGTCGCGATAAGCAATTCATTGATTTATCGTACGATAAATAAAAATGAACTCGATAAATTGCCATTTACATGAGGATGTGACTAGCAGTTTGAAAGGATGTACTTGAATTATTATTATTATATATTATCATTATGTCAGTGGTCTAAAATGGTCATACAACGGTGCCGACAATATTATCGTTTATCGCAATAATTTCCGGGAAAATGTATCCAACTAAATTAATTATCGTGAGAGGCCTATACATGAAACACCCACACACAAACAAATCTACAGACTTACTCCAAACTGCCAAATATATTAATTAACACACTCTCACTCTCATATACTCTTTGACTCCATTTTGGCCTAATAGAACAATAAGCAGCAGACTTTACTTTTTATCATTTCTACTGGATCTTAGATCTGCGCATGCGCAATACGGGTCGGGGATTGACCAACCGGCTCCCACTGCTCTGGGGTGGGGGCGGGGAGGGAGCGGATCGACAGATTGAGCAGCGGTCAACTCAACATTGTAAATAACCAACCAAAAACGATTGCCGGTTCATCTTGTTTTTGGCATGAGAATAGTTTGGGCAGCGTGAGAGCGTGAGATTGAGAGTGAAAGCGTGTGTCACACGCCAGATGCGTGAGAGTTGGCAACCCTGCATTAATTCATAGATCAAAGCAGACTGGTTTACAGACTCTCCTGTTTTGCCAATCTGGTGCTTAAACAAATACCTCTACACCCCTGGCCGAAATGCCCATAAAATTAAGTCGGAGTTCGAAATATATCTCAAATAATGTATATGCACTGTCATTTCCCCACGTAAACATAACAGTATGCAATTAAATGGTTGTCTCCTGTGTGCTCCACTTCCTCCTTGGCGCACCGGTAAGTTTCTCAAAAAAATAAAATAAAGTCAGGATAGTCAGGATTAGTTTCTCTTTTTTTTTTCTCTCTCTCTCTTTTTTCTTCTTCTTCCATGTCCCTTTAGGGCTCCGTAACATATTAAGACCACTGTTATAATAGTGTAACGATCACAAAGGGAGTCGGAAACAGGCTTCCAGTTATTAGGCTTTAATAACTCTTCTTATTCACAGATGATCACAGGTTCATGTACAGCTTGTGGGTTCAACCTCACACTAACTCTAACTCCCACACATACCCATATATATAACAGTGTCTACGTCACAACTTCCCGCCCTCCCCCGTCTGCTCCCCCAACCACGGGCCCGCACCTCAACCAGCATCACCGTGCAGCTCTATGATTGGCAGAGAGACGGGGGATGCCTGAGTGACACCCTCAGCATCCTATACAGGGTCGCTACAATAGTAAATGAAATAGCTAAAGTAAATAGCTAACGTCAGGCTATAAACAAACTACATCACGGTAGTATGACTGCGCGTGACCACCGCTACGCTAACGGTGGCTAATGTTTGGCGCTATGAAGTTTAGTAGTCTCATTTAGTCCCTTGTTAGCAACCGTTTGTGGCATATTTAATGAAGTGTTTTATGTCATAGAACACAATGTACAAATATATTAAGTAGTGTTAACCACAGTCCGTATTTCAGGACCAAAAACATTGACATTGGGACGAGGGAACCCCAACGTGCCAAAATGCTAACTCATTTCCTGATGTAGTACTCATTCCTGGACCACTAACTTATCAGACATTTTGTATGTGTGTGTTTCCAGGGGGCTACAACCTGCAGGACGTGGTGTTCTATTGGACCAGAGGGAATGATTCGGTGAAGGGTCTCGACATACTGAGGCTAGCTCAGTACAGCGTAGAGAGCTACTATACCTCAGTGTCCGAGGCTGTGTATGAGACAGGTAGGATACTTCAACCCCCAGAAGCCCCTAACAAATGAGTAGCCTATATATGAGAGCAGAAATGATACATCATTACAATATGTACCTTGTCTTTTTTACAGGACAATACCCTAAGCTGGTGTTGCATTTCGCACTGCGTAGAAACGTGCTGTTCTTTATCCTGGAGACGTACGTCCCCTCCATCCTGCTGGTGGTCCTCTCCTGGGTCTCATTCTGGATCAGCCAGTCCTCTGTCCCAGCCAGGACCTGCATCGGTCAGTACTGGATATCTAACTGGGTTTATCTAAAGGTCAAAGTATCATGGAGTTAAGAGCCTAAGTGCATCAATTCTTCATATCCTGTTTATCTAAAGGTCAAAGTATCATGGAGTTAAGAGCCTAAGTGCATAAATTCTTCATATATTGAATCACTTTTATAGACTTTATATATGGTCCGACAGATATGACCAAAGCAGAGAAAACATATTATAACACAATATAGTCAAATGTTATAGTGGTGCTATTTAAAATATAAAAGCAGAAAAGTAAATGTTCACAATGCTGACAGATTTGTGTGCATCGGCGGTTAGGTATCCTAGATTTGAAAGAAAAACGACAAATATACACTCATTTAACCCTTATGTTGTGTTCGGGTCTCCCGTGACCCGTTTCAAGTTAAAATTATATAATAACTACACTCTAGTTTTTTTTATCGGAACAAGGCTTCATGATATCCTCCACAACAGCTATATAAACACTACAAAACTGATTTTGACAATTTTTGACAAGTCTGAAGGTCTCTAAAAAAAAAGTGTATAATTTGGTGTTCGGGTTTGGGGAGACCCAGCAGCATTGTTTTGGGTGACTCGAGGTCAAATTTGGCCCAATCAAGATTCATCTTTGACTTTAGACACTCCAGCCCCACCCCCTTCATACACTGTAACAATAATTTTTCGCAACATGCACCTGGTCTCCCCTCCCTCTGCCCCTTCCCTCCATGGGAACTCCACTTTTCTCAAAGAATATGTACACTAACACTTGAACCTGAACACACACATGCACGTTGGCAATATGTGGTGTAATGTGTTTTGGGCCATAACATTAAATTACAACAGGATTGTACGGTTATGAATGCATTATAAGTTAGTTATGATGTTGTTAAAACAATATTGGATGATAGTTATTTTTGTGTGTGTTTTGGACTGAGATAAATCATGGGTCAAAATTGACACACGAACACCATGAAAGGTAACAGCTTTTGAACACAACACAAGGGTTAAAACACACTCCATTGTGGCAAAGATGTTAAATATTGTAGATGATAGGACTATCAGTACATACAATTACAAACATTCGAATTGAACACAACTGTATTCATCTTTAAGAGTTTTGTAGGTGGATAAAAATAGCATTAATACAATATACACATGTTGGCTTTACATGGTGATCCAACATGTAGGAAATAGACGCAGTGGATTGCACCAATTTCCTTAAAGCATTATAATTGTCCTGCATTCATAAGGATAGTATAAATTAGGGCTGTCAAGTTAACGCGTTAATAACGCGTTAACGCAAAAAAAAATTAACGCCACTAATTATTTTAACGCGATTAACGCATGTGTATTTTTTTTTCCTCGGCCGCCCCGTAGTTTCAGAGTTTTGAATTGATTGATTGAAAAGTTTATTAACAGCTTGTATATTGGGTACAGTACAGTACAGCTCAAAACATACAATTGTTAAGGGGATGCAGACCAGAGAAAGTCTTTCGTCTTGTTTACATCAGGGTCCCCCATTTCCAATTCATCATGTCATTTAAGACATATAAGACATATTTGACATACAGATGGCTTATTTACAATTTACATACAGGTGGTTTTTTTACATACAGATTGCTTGTTTACAATTTTCATTTTAGATTTCATTCTAATACATCCTAACCGGACATTTAAGACATACCAAATCTACAGATATACAGTTAGTAACAGAGTCTAAAATGCGAGTATATACATAGATGGGGGGGGGAAGCTGTCCATTGAACGACAGGTTGAGATTTGTACCATTACCGGGGCCAGTTTTGCAATGCTCTCCCCCGAAGGTGCTCTTTAAGAGAGGTTTTGAAGGTAAGTATAGTTTTACTTTCCTTTACAGTTGTGGGAAGAGCGTTCCACCTTGATGTGGCATAGTTGCGAAACGTGTATTCCCCCTTTTTTGTGCCAAATCTGGGTTTCACATGATTTGTGGAGCTCCCTCTGGTGTTATGATCATGGTATTCCTTGACCTTTGGGAAGAATTTTTACATGTACATGGGTACCATAGAGGTGTAGTGGATCTTGTAGACCAGGCCCATTGCAAGTAGCTGTACTCTGTCGTCTACTCTAAGCCGTCCTAGGTTGTCAAAGTGGGCAGAGGTGAGGTGGGTTCTAGATGAAAGGTCAAGCAGTAGTCTGACCAGTTTATTTTGCGATGTTTGAAGTTTTATTTTTAGCGCCTTGGAGGTGCTATGGTACCATGACGTGCAAGCATAGTCATAGTACCCTTGAATGAGTGCTCCTGCCAGAGTTTTCAGGGTGTTTTTGTTTACCAGAGAGGAGATCCGGTATAGGAATCTAGTTCTTTGATTGACTTTTTTTATTACATTGGATGCCATTTTGTCACAGGAGAGGTTTGCCTCAAGAATAGATCCTAGGTATGTAATTTCCTTCTTACTTGTGACAATAATGTCGCCCACTGCAACTGAGAAGTCGTCGGATTTGCTGAGATTATGTTTCGAACCGAAGAGAATGGACTCTGTTTTACCCAGGTGTAATGATAATTTATTATCGGCGAGCCAGGTGCAGATTCTGCCGAGCTCGGAGCTGAGGGTTTTTTCAACCTGCAACCTGTTCCTGTCAGAGACCAGCAGGGCTGAGTCGTCCGCGAACAGGAACAAGTTGCAGTCACATGCTGATGACATGTCATTTACATAAATTAGGAACAGTAACGGACCTAATATGCTTCCTTGTGGAACACCACAGCTCACTGGGAGGGGGGGGGACAGAGTACCGTTTACCTCCACCATCTGTTCTCTCCCTTCCAGGTAGGATTGCATCCAGCTCACCGATAGTTTATCAAAACCAATTGCTTTTAGCTTGTCAATCAGAATGGGGTGATTGACAGTGTCGAAAGCCTTTTGTAGGTCCAGCATCACCATGCCGCAGTACTTGCCCTCGTCCACCTCTTGTTTGATGTGGTCGCTCAAATAAAGAAGGCATGTGTCAGTGGAGTGGGATGTTCTAAAGCCAGATTGAAATTCATAGATTAGTTTCTTTTCCGCGAGGTACTTTTCGACCTGTTCATATACTATTTTTTCCATGACTTTCGAGATGGAGGTAAGTATAGAAACAGGGCGGTAGTTGCCTGGGTCCAATTTGCTGCCCTTTTTGTGCAGGGGGGTTACTCTTGCAATTTTGAAGTCTTTGGGTACTTTTCCCTGTTTTATGGAGAGGTTAATTATGTGAGTTATGACTGGTGAGATGGCGGTTGCTGAGTCTCTGAGGAATTTGGAGGGGATATTGTCGTGGCCAGTGGCCTTGTTAGGTTGGAGGGCGCTCAGTTTAATGAGTACCTCTGCTGTTGTTACCCTTGCTAGACTGAAATCATCTTTGCGTACCCCTAGGTTTTTGTAGTAGGTCATGATGTGATCTACTCCAAAAAGCCCTGAGTGGGAGAGCATCGAGTTTAAAATACCATCTACAAGCTGATGCTGACAGCCCCGCTCCTGCCGCCCGCTTGTGGCAGACCACACTTCCACGCTCACCGGCAGGCACCGACTGGTTGTTGGGAGGACCGGGAGGGTGTGTGTATGTGTGGCCCGAGCGAGCGAGAGAGAGACCTTACGTGCATTGTTGTTGTTAGCATCTGGTGCTAGCTAGCTGCGCTAACGGATATGGAGCTGTTTAAATGAAAACAGAGGAGCGACATTTCGCCACAACTGCGCCGAGCACTTGACTTTATGCAGGAAGCCAGACAGTGGGACATTGTACGAAAAGTCAGCACACTCAGCACGGATAGTGCAACATGATTGCAGCGTCCAGGCAGCTCCCGTTCGAGCATATGCCTTGAGTTGCACATAGCTCCAACGATCACACACACACACACACACACACACACACACACACACACACACACACACACACACACACACACACACACACACACACACACACACACACACACACACATACACACACACACACACACACACACACACACACACACACACACACACACACACACACACATACACACACACACACACCATTTGTATTGTATTATTGTATGAGAGAGGTTCCAGGTTGAATTGAGGCGAATATTTGTAATGTTCAGAGGTTGTTGTGTTTAATATTCATGAGAATTTTTGTCATTGTTCAAATGATAATAAACATTAGCATAAAGCATATTTGTCCACTCATATGTTGATAACAGTATTAAAAACTTGAAAAATATTCCTCTAAGGTACATTTAGAACAGATCAAAAATGTGCGATTAATTTGCGATTAATCGCGATTAACTATGGACAATCATGCGATTAATCGCGATTAAATATTTTAATCGACTGACAGCCCTAGTATAAATACATCATCATCACTTTGGCTCCAGCTAAAGGAACAACTGTACCCTTAAATGGTTTACTTACACCAGTACCCATTTAGATAAAAGAGCATAGAAAAAGCAAATTACAAAAAAATGATACATGAAGTAGAGTTTCATCCTATCTTGCATCATGAAAACAACACTGTGATGTTTTTCCCAGGAGTGACAACAGTCCTGACCATGACCACACTGATGATGGGTGCCCGCACATCCCTGCCCAATGCCAACTGCTTCATCAAGGCCATCGATGTGTACCTGGGCATCTGCTTCACCTTCATCTTTGGTGCTCTGGTGGAGTACGCCTGTGCACACTTCTATACCATGCAGAACCAGACTATAGAGGAATTACACAGGGTGAGGATATGTTCATATTTAAATATGAGGTGAAAAACTATAGTGGAACGAAACATCCAGAATATACCGTAAAGTGTTTATTATACTAAACTGTGTCTAGTGGGGTCTTTAGATTCCTCAGAAAGTAGGCATAAGATATTACCTCATTTGCATATTTATACATGTAAGATAAACCTAATCAACTGGGGAAGTTTTAGGGTGATACATATTGACTTAAATTTATTAAATATTCACCTGTAGTGTCTTGCAAAATGTTACATTTTACAAAACGTATCCTTAAGGCCGTTTTCTCCAAATATTGTTCTCTTTTTCTGAAAGGGAGATTTTCACTTCAGTAGCTCTTACATAAGCAAATACATATTTAAGGATTTTTCAGAGGGGTTTGGTCATAAATCATTCAAAGTACGATTTATATTACATTGAATTCCTATATACATTATTTAAAACCTTTGATTACTTTTGACAGTATTCAGATTTATTGACAAAAACACATATCCCGAGAGATCCATCTTGAAACTTTTGAGTCCAACTTGTCAACAAATTCCCACAAATTAAATCGAAGAATGCCTTTTCGTGTTTTTTAACATTACATTTCAGAAGACTTGTTTACGAAAAATAATTGTATTATTTGAATTCATCGACATGGTAAGCTTCAAAGTGATTTCTATGAGTTCAAATTAACTTTATTCACCCACCCTTAACCTGTTAAGCCCTGAGCCTGTTTTTCAGGTCTCAGGCTCGAAAATGACATTCCCAGAACAAATGACCTTAACTACACTTCTAAAAGGGTTACATTAATAATCTTGTTTCTCAAAGTAATGATAAACCTGTGAGTTGGATGTTCAAAAGTCAGAATCAATATAGATGTTTTTTATTTTAAAGAAAATTCAGATTGAACATCGTAAAAAACTGTAAATTATAGTTTCCGTCCAAAAATTATGTTTTACTTATAGTGAAAAACTACCCTTGGATAATGGTAAGGTAGACTAAAAGCTTTAGGAATCCAAAGTACAACATATAATAAGTACACTGTATCAAGATTGATACAAAATAAGTGACATTTGACCTTTTTAGAGAGGTTTAGCAAAAAAAACTCCACCTCTGAGTTGATTTGGGTGGAAATGGCCATTTTTTACCGTTTCTCTGGAACCCATTGGTCGATTTTGGTGAATGACATCTCTTTTTGACCGTTAGAGCCAATAGAATCAAAGGGGAATTTCCCCGTACACACACATGGTAAATAAAAAAGGTGGGGGCTTTGCGCATGCAGGTTTGCATCAGAGTGAACCTATCTCTCATCTGGAAACGGAAAAGCAGGTTTATTGCTTATGGATTATCAGAAATCATTTCAAAGGGACACAGACACATTGGATTAACCTATGGATTAAGTTCAGCAGCGTTTTTATCGTTTTAATCCCATTGAAGACCACTTTTGACCAGACAACGACCAAGGTAGGCCATGTTGCCGGTTTTAGCTACCTATAGCGCCACATGTTTTGATGTCTGTTCTTGTTAATAGCTTCGCGAGTTGTTATCATGGAGTGATGATGTATGTACCCATCGATTCTGTGTCATCGCACCATCAGATCGATGGGTTGGACGTGCAGCTACGATAAGTAATAAGGGTGTTATGAGTGAGTTTCTGTGCAACACCCCGTTATTATCTTTCGCTCGTGGCTAATTCATAGGCTCAGCGCTAGCTTTGTGGGTTTTTTGAAAATAAAAATAAAAATGATCAGTTAGCTGAGTTTCTTCCCATTACATGGATATAAAACATTCATAGTTTATTGAATATTAAGATGCCCTCAGACGCTGTTTCCTGCAGATGACGCATTTTTCCCCCCGGTATCCAACCCAGTCTCACGGCATTTCGTGTTATAGTCACGACATTTAATCTATAATTGATTCGTGTTCACCAACACGATTTTCCCCTTTTTTTCCTGTCACACAGAACGATTTTAAAAGCAATGTATTTCTATTGGTAGTATGTTTCGTGCCTGCAGCACGTCTTTTTGTCCGTTCGGGTCTTGGAAGACCGGAAGCTGTGGGGTTCATAAAAACATGTTCTTACTCAATATCAAGCCACGATTATTGTTTTTCTTTTAAATCGTATAATGTCTGACTTTTTTTGTCATCTGTGAGGAAAATAAATGGGGCTCAGAGCCTCAAAATACTGAAATCTGTATTTTTTAAAATCTTTTTTTCCTTCTAATTTGTTATTCTTTTCTAAATAACACACTGTTATTTACTCACCAATAACACACAATTATCCTTGTTTTTATTTATTTGTTTGATTTCATAATCTCTGGCTTTTTTAGCGTCCGTCAGGAACTGAATTTCAAAATGAAAATAACCGGAAACAGACGTAGGCCTACAAGGGACATTTCGAGCATCATCGCGATACACAGCCACTGAACTGATTACCCAAGATCCTCAGCTATGGTTTAAGCTCGCTGATTGGATGTTTTAGCCGCAATGCATTCAGGGATATGGTGTTAATACGATATGAAATCCGAAAAAAAAATGTAACGAAAAAATAATACTTTATTCCGAGTGTTCTTGCTTTTCTCTTTGAAAGTCATCACATAACGGCATTGCAATACACGGTTCGGCTTCATTACATATTACAGATCTGCCGTAGTTCTTTATTTATAGAGCCCTGATGAGAAGACCTTTGGAAAAAATGGAAGAAATGCCGCCGAAACGGAATACTTGACGTGGATCATAATTTAAATATATCACCAATTAAAGCTGTTAACATCTTCAATTTCTCTTCACACAATACGTCTCTTTGCAGTATCAACACTAATTCGGCTGACTTTTACATTTGATCTAATTCGTAGATAGGTTATATTGACACCATAACGGTGCACAGCTGATATAAAAGGACTTGTAGTTTTTAAAGATATTACTGATTTTCTTTGAATGTAAGAATGTAAATACTGAGTCTGAAATAATATAGCAATATGCTGTAAAATTATGTGAAAACATGAATAAAACTACACATCTGCAGATGTTGTACATACATAAGTGTCCTACACTAATAATACAAAGTTATTATGGCTGTGTGTACCTTGTGTGCACCGCCTAGTGGTTAAAGCACGTTATTGAATTATTGTTTTTATGTGTTATATTTGATGAACAAAATATTAGAGTACATACTTTCATAGGGGGAAAGTAGAAGGTCTGTGATAGAAATATAGAATATAAAAAATCAAGAAGATACTATAAGTGATCTCTACAATAAAACAGTTTAGTGCAGGATGTACAGTACAAAGATATTAATAGGAGGAGGTGCAAAACAGAAAAACGAATTAACCTTTATTTAAACATTAAATAATACTTTAGATTAAGGTCTTCTTTTAAATAAGAAAAAAGCTTTGGGGGTATCAACAGATAAATATTAAGCCTGACAAAGTACTTAACGTCTAATATATTGCTTTCCTGCAATGTTAACTATGTTGAAGCACTTATTTTAACTGATATTATACATATGAATTATACTCTTATGTATGTAGATAGTATAAGAAATGTGCAGAATATGACAGTTTAATGGTGGAGGTACACACATGATAGATGTCTTGTAATGCACTGTTGAGGAACCTCAGCTGCGACTCAAGTTTTTCATTCATTGCATAACTACACCATAGTTGTGTATATGATATGTCAATAAACCTTAGAAAATCTTGAAATCTTGAAAGGGATGTGCAAAATAGCCATTATACAGTCTTTAATTAACTATTAGTAGAGAATAACGAGTAATGAATATACTTTATTACTCGTTTCCATTCATGTCAATTGCAGATAAATGTTTAGTCTTCTCAAGCACCAACAATCAAATATCTCTCCTGATTGTTGGCACTTGAAAATCACCTTACCTGAATTTTACTCAGGTGTAACTAAAGTCTGATTTAAGGGTTGTTTATATTTTACATCATTAATCAGAATCTGCAAAGTAACTCAAATAAATGCAGTGGAGTAAAAATACCAGGTTAACCTCTGAATTGTAGTGGAGTAGAATTACAAAGTAACAATGAGCTGTCATGTGGGTATACATTAATGTTGCGCATTATGGACACAAGCGATTTTCACCCATTTATTAATTATATGTTTTACATTTGATAACACCCATGTGTTTAATACTGGCAACTTCTAATTGTGGGAAAAACGAAAACGTTCAGTCGAGACGTCCCATAGTAAATGTTGCGAAACACAATAGCCAGCATGTGTAGTTCTGGGGGGGCGTTCGATTCCAGTTTTGGATATCTGGCGTGGTTTCGTTCCATTTCAAACAGCTGTTTGACACTCAGCGTAAACTTGGCGCACTGCAAGTCCAACATCCAATCCCAGAGCTTAAAGATTAATCACGGGGACAGTAGTCCTAAACGATAGCTGGGGATTATGGGTAGTGTAGTGTCTTCGGCCATCCTATTTCATATCGCATTAACACCATATCCCTACATGCATTGCGGCTAAAACATCCAATCAGCGAGCTTAAACCATAGCTGAGGATCTTGGGTAATCAGTTCAGTGGCTGTGTATCACAATGATGCTCGAAATGTCCCTTATAGGCCTACGTCTGTTTCCGGTTATTTCTATTTTGAAATTCAGTTCCTGATGGAAGCCAAAAAAGCCCAAGATTATGGAATCAAACAAATAAATAAAAACAAGGATAATTGTGTGTTATTGTTGAGTAAATAACAGTGTGATATTTAGAAAAGAATAACAAATTAGAAGGAAAAAAAGATTTAAAAAAATACAGATTTCAGTATTTTGAGGCTCTGAGCCCCATTTCTTTTCCTCACAGACGACAAAAAAAGTCCGACATTATACGATTTAAAATAAAAACAATAATCGTGGCTTGATATTGAGTAAGAACATGTTTTTATGAACCCCACAGCTTCCGGTCTTCCAAGACCCGAACGGCCAAAAAGACGTGCTGCAGGCACGAAACATACTACCAATAGAAATACATTGCTTTTAAAATCGTTCTGTGTGACACGAAAAAAAGGGGAAAATCGTGTTGGTGAACACGAATCAATAGATTAAATGTCGTGACTATAACACGAAATGCCGTGAGACTGGGTTGCGGTATCGGGGGTGCGGTGTAGAAGAGGTTAAAGCATGTTGGATAACAACAACACTGTTATTGTCTGTCTATCAGGAGCTTCTGAGGGATTTCAATGAATCCAACGGAAATGGCTCCATCCCCATCTTCCGCTACACCCAGCCGAAACACACTGTGCAGATGAGCTCCACTGCAGAGGAGCCCCTGGAGCAGGCAGCGGACTGCGACACGAGGAACCATGCTGGGGCCAGAGAGAAGCTGTCTGATCAGGGCTGCGGTCTGTCCTCAGTGAGGAGCGCTTCACGCAGAGCCGCGGCCGCCTTCACGGTGGAAAATCCACACAACATCGATCGCCACTCTCGCACCGCTTTCCCCATGGCGTTCCTCTGTGTCAATATCCTCTACTGGCTTTACTATCTGTTCCTCTGAGCTGCTGCATTGTTCATTTCACCATCCTTGATGCTATGCTGCTCCATCTCCTCATTTGAGACCCAATACCATTTGCCACTGGATCTAAACTGATCATACATGCTTTTTTGTGTCACATAATGTATTCAACCCGGTATCACGGCAAGACGTGAACATGTGACGACTTACCTTGCTGGGAGACGTGAAGATGTCACGATTTCGTCCCTTCAAACGTGACAGTTACACGGTATTGTTAACATGGCCCAACCAGTGGAGATATAGGCCTACCCGGAAATGCCAAGCAAATGCTACCCGACGGTCGGTTGTTATTGTCAATATTAATATAATAATGATTTTTTTTTTTATAGTCACACTCGATTTCGCCGATTTTCTCGTAGCCCCAGCTGGTCGACACCTCTTTTAGCAGAAACAAAGGCTACATTAATGTATTAAATCGATGTTAATCCATGTGTGTGAATGTGGAATTAACGGACGTGACGATGTGCGATTGCGTTACCAGGCAACAGCTTCGGTTCATGTTAATTTACAAACTCTTCAACTAGAACCGTAGTTATATTTAAAAACATGTTAGAAGGCCTCACGAAATACTTTAATGTAAATTAAAATTTAAATGTGAAGGAATGTGTGTATAACAAAATACATCCGTCATAAAAAATACCGGAAACAGACGTAGGCAAGGTCCTCAGCTCGGTGATTCGATGGTTTAGCCCCAATGCACGTTGGGAAATGGTGTTAATGCGATGTGAAATCCGATTTAAAAAATAAATAATAATAATACTTTATTCCGTGTGCTTGCTTTTCTCTTTGAAAGTCATCACATAACGGCATTGTAATACACGGTTCGGCTGCATTAAATATTACATATCTGCCGTAGTTCTCTATTTATAGAGCCCTGATGAGAAGACTTCTCGACAAACAGGAAGAACTTCCGCCAAAACTGAAAACTCCTTGCAGTATCAACACTAATTCGGCTGACTTTTATATTTGATCCAATTGGTAGATAGGCTGTATTTACACCATAACGGTGCACAGCTGATAGAAAGGGACACCTAGTGGTTAAAAAATAAATAAATGTATATGACGGATTATCCTGTTAAACAGCAGTATAAGTGTTGACTCGTGCAGAGAGACTCACTTCCAGCTGCCAGCAGCAGCAGAGCTACAGAGAACATGATGATGATGATGATGATGATGATGATGATGATGATGATGATGATGATGATGATGATGATGATGATGATGATGATGATGATGATGATGATGATGATGATGATGATGATGATGATGATGATGATGATGATGATGATGATGATGATGATGATGATGATAAGACGTGAGCTCCTGTGCTTGGCATTTCCGGGTATATCTCCACTGGTTGGGCCATGTTAACAATACCGTGTAACTGTCACGTTTGAAGGGACGAAATCTCCCAGCATGGTAAATCGTCACATGTTCACGTCTTGCCGTGATACCGGGTTGAATGTATTACCTTTTTGTCCCTCAAACAGGGCTAGAAAATGATGAATTCGAAACTCCTATTCATCATTAGAAATTCTTCTGTGCATTTTACCATTTTGAAAGCTTTATTAATAATTTTTAAATAGATGGCTACTAACATCTTAACATACAAATAAAGCCTGTCTTTGTCTATTTCCTGACAAGTCTTGTTAAAAAAAAACTAGTAAAACTAGTTATAAACGATAGGCTGCCTGAGCTGCATCACACTATACTGTGTTGCATTGAATTGCCTTTATTAAGTGACTTGTTCAGCCGCAATGCACGTTGGGATATGGTGTTAATGCGATATGAAATCCGAAAAACATTTAAAAAAAGAAAATAATACTTTATTCCGACTGTGCTTGCTTTTCTCTTTAGAAGTCATCACATAACGGCATTGTAATACAAGGTTTGGCTGCATTAAATATTACATATCTGCCGTAGTTCTTTATTTATTGAGCCCTGATTAGAAGACTTCTGGACAAACAGGAAGAACTGCCGCCGAAACTGAATACGTGATGTGGATCACCCCCCCTGTCGACTTTCCTGAAGTACTCCCCCGTTGATAGAAATCAACACGTAATGAATTAAAACCCCACGGTTTGATGATTGATAGGTGTGTGTGCTGTCTTTCATTTTGACACGCAGAAAAACGTTATAATAAACATAGATACTGTATGTTAAATGGATATATCCGCCTTCTTTCATTTATTTTCCATTAACCCTAACCCTAACCATAAAGAAATGGCATATTTTGGACATAGTTCGAATGGTGATTAATCATGATTAATTAATTTTTAAACTGTGATTAATCTGATTAAAATGTTTATTCGTTTGACAGCCCTAGTAAAAACATGAATAAAACTACATATTTTCAGATGTTATACATACATAAGTGTCCTACACTAATAATACAAAGTTATTATTAGTATGCTGTGTGTACCTTGTGTGCACCGCCTAGTGGTTAAAGCACATTATTGAATTATTTTTGTTGAATAATGTTATTTTTGTTGAATAATGTTATTTGATAAAAAAAATATTAAGAGTACATACTTTCATAGGGGGAAAGTAGAAGGTCAATGATAGAAATATAGAATATAAAAAATCAAGAAGATACTGTAAGTGATCTCTACAATAAAACAGTTTAGTGCCGGATGTACAAAGATATTAATATGAGGATGTGCAAAACAGACAAACTAATTAACCTTTATTGCCACATTAAAGAATACTTTAGGTTAAGGTCTTCTTTTAAATAAGAAACAAGCTTTGGGTGTACCCTACACATACATATTAAGCCTGACAAAGTACTTAACGTCTAATATATTGCTTTCCTGCAATGTTAACTATGTTGAAGCATTTATTTTAACTGATATTATACACATTAATTATACTCTTATGTATGTAGATAGTATAAGAAATGTGCAGAATTTGACAGTTTAATGGTGGAGGTACACACATATTGATAGATGTCTTGTAATGCACTGTTGAGGAACCTGTGACCCAAGTTTTTCATTCATGTGTGTATGTATATGATATGTCAATAAACCTTTGAAAATCTTGAAATGGATGTGCAAAATAGTCATTATATACAGTCTTTAATTAACTATTAGTAGAGAATAACGAGTAATGAATATACTTTATAGGGATCCTATTAATATCTAATAATAAAAATAATACAATTCAATAACGTGCTTTAACCACTAGCTGACATCCTCGTGGATTCATCTTCTTTCAGACACATGCATTTCCTAACATTCGGTCTATATGCTGTAAAATGTATTATCTCTTCGATTTACACACGGCATCTATTGCACGTCTGTCCGTCCTGGGAGAGGGATCCCTCCTCTGTTGCTCTCCCTGAGGTTTCTCCCATTTTTTCCCCTTAAACTGTGGGTTTTCTCTGGAAGTTTTTTCTTGTACGATGTGAGGGTCTAAGGATAGAGGGTGTCGTTTTTCTCATACTGATATTCTGAACAATCTGTGCTGTTGTATTTGCTGTAAAGTCTCTCTACTGTAGGCTATTTGCATTTTATGTACAGCACTTTGGCTCGACCAAAAATCGTTTATAAATGTGCTATATAAATAAAACTTGATTTGAGGTGTCCCTTTCTATCAGCTGTGCACCGTTATGGTGTAAATACAGCCTATCTACCAATTGGATCAAATATAAAAGTCAGCCGAATTAGTGTCGATACTGCAAGGAGACGTATTGTGTGAAAAGAAATGTAAGATGTTGTTTAATTGCTGATATATTTATGAACCACGTCACGTTTTCAGTTTTGGTGGCAGTTCTTCCTGTTTGTCTAGAAGTCTTTTCATCAGGGCTCTATAAATAGAGAACTACGGCAGATATGTAATATTTAATGCAGCCGAACCGTGTATTACAATGCCGTCATCAGATGACGGCATTGTAATACACGGTTCGGTTCGGTCATCTGATGACTTTCAAAGAGAAAAGCAAGCACACTCGGAATAAAGTTTTTTTTAAAAATGTTTTCGGATTTCACATCGCATAAACACCATATCCCAACGTGCATTGCGGCTAAACCATCCAATCAGCAAGCTGAGGATCTTGCCTACGTCTATTTCCGGTATTGTTTATGACGGGTGTATTTTGTTATACACACATTCCTTCACATTTAAACTGAATTCCCATTAAGGCGAGACACCCCAGGTGAATAGGGTATCTTTTTTTAACTTGAAGGTATCAGCTAGAAATTTCTCCAGTTAATTACTTACAATAAGGCAATTGTCTTTTGTATTACAAGTTTTCTGAAATAGCATGTTTAAATATGCAAATTACCCATTATCTCATTAAATATGCACATATTTTAACACATTTCAGGAATCGAAATCTGAACTTTGGATAAAGCCAGGTTCAAAATTATTGTTTCATTTCGTAGTCATATTAGTATCTAAGGCTTTTACAGAAGGGATATTGGATATCTCTTTTTATCACTCCATAAATCAGGCCCTAAAATATCAATTTTCGCCATGTTTTTAGGTATACAATGTTGTATAATTCAGGCTATGAATGATATATGAACAAACCCTTCTGTAAAAGCCTTCATAATATTGATAGGAATATAACTGGAAGGTTTGGTGTATGTACGTGCTACTGAAGTTGAAATTTCGAACTCAGAGTAGGAGAAAAAACTCATTTTGAGAAAACGACCTTTAAAGAATGCAGTGAGGCGCTAGCTAAACCCTCCTGTTCTTTGGATGACAGCTTGCACATCGACGCACTCCGTGAAGGTATTTCATGTTCGGGGTCATTTGTTTTTTGTATAACCTTGCTTCGTGCAAGTGACAATTGTTGTCGTCTTCTCTGTGAAAGTTTTTTTCGCTGTTCTTTTGCCATTTTGAGATTTCAATTTCTAGCGGAAAGCTAACCAGGAAGTGTTTTAGCACACCACGTGATGCATCTGAACGAATCACGTTGTCAGAAATTGACATCAGCCAATGAGATTTTGTTTCTTGGTTTAAGACCCCTGTGCTTTCACGATTGGTTGCTGATACAAAGGAAATGACCATATTTGGATCTGATGAGATTGTGCAGGAGAGACGGAGCTTTCCAACGATATCTCTGTTGACATGGTGCACACAGCGGTC